ATTATAATATATTTAATATATATATCTTTCTTATAAAATATTTTATTGTTATAAATTAAATTAATGGCCTTTTATATGCCCATAACTTTTCATGATCATACATAATATGAATTTTTTCATACATATATTTAAAAAAATATAAAAGATCATCATATTGACCTTTATATCTTTCATCTAAATCATTTATATGCCGATGCATAGTATTGTTTATAGAATTTTCTTCAGTATCTGTGTTAGCATATTCTTGAATTATACCAAATGCACATGTATGCAATTCTACTAAGAATTGATGAATTGCTTCAATAGTAGCTAAATACCATCTTGGACTTTTTTTCTGATGACGCCAAAATTGTGATATTCTTGATTTTAAAATAACACAATGCAAATCTGTAAATAACAATATATATTATACAATATTATTATACATAATATAAATCTTATATAATTATAATTTTTCTTAAGATATTTTATATTATTCTTAAAAATAATAAAGATATTGAAAATGATATGTAAATTAACAAATATATGTAATATGATTTGCTTATAAAAATACCTCGTAATCTTTGATCTTTGTAAATAGCTTTTGTTTGATGCCATGTACTATCAATAAAAATAGCTCTTTTTATAGGAAATGCATTCTTTATTCTATTTGTAATTATTTTATTATCTTTTTTAACCTCCTTTATGAATAAAGAATCTACGGATACACCAGTTTGGCTAGGAAAAATTAAAACAGTCTAAAGGATAATATTATTTATACCAAAGTTTTAAAAACATAAAATAATCTTAAATATGTTGTTGCTGTCATATATACCTCTTCTTTGTCCAATATATCTGGAAAATTAGGATATGTAAAAATTCTCACATCTTCAGGAGCAAGTATAGCTGCATGAATTGCAGTGCTTTTTCCATCTATTTCACGTGCATGTTTAATGATATCAATTTTAATAGGCAACTAAAAAAAGAAAAATCGTTTATTCATGTTTACGTAATTTACATAAATTATTACCTTTATCTTTGGAAAGTACTGTTCTCCAATAACTGGTAAATAACAAGAATAACAAAAAAATTTTCGTGACCTACAACAATGTTTACATATTTCTCTGCCTTCTATTGTATCCAAAATTCGTGCATTAGTAATTTTTAAATGACAGAAAGGTGTTTTATCAATTATTTTTTGTTCTCTTTCTAAACTTGAAAGTTTCTTGATTTCGTTTATTACGTCGGTTTTAGCCATATTCTTAATAATAATAATATAAATAAATTTAATTCTTAATAATAATATGAACAAATTTAATTCAATACGGAATATTTGATATTATTATTGACACTTATAAACATTCGTAGAATAAATGTAATGACATATAACTAAGCATTTATTTATACATATAGTGAATTATTAAATGAAGCTCATTTTTGATTACAAATTATACCATATACGCCATCTGTTGTTGAACATATAAACTATAGCTCATTGGGTAATCAGCAAACATTATGATATTGTTCAATTCACATTAAAAATTACAATTAGTGCCATCTCGTGTTTGAATACTCGAAGCTCTAACTTATTACTAGCATAACAGAATATGCAAGGAGGTATTCGAAGTTACCGGTAAGGAAACATGCGAAAAGCACAGAAAATCACCCCGCTTTGAGGAAAATCTATTAATTGCTCTTAATATTTTAATATTTTTAAGCTTGTATTTTAAATTAGAACTTTAAGCAAATTTCTCGTATCAATTTTATTAATTGTAATCGTATCAAATTTATTAATCGTTTAAAAATATCGAAATTTTATGTAGAAAACAAGTAATTGATCAATTTTCAACATATTATTTTCGACATATTAGAAATTATAACGTATTAATCGTTAATGAATTTTCCACGTGATATCCTTAAAGTAATGAGTGTTTGTATCCTTCTTGCGCAATATTGCATATCTTATTTGTGACGTCACACAACTTCGCATACTACTCCAAGTGTCGGGAGATATCTATCTCTCTCGCACAATATTGCTCTCCTTGTCTGTGACGTCACGTGAATTCGCATACCTCCTTGCATATTCTGCTATGCTAATAACAAATCAGAGTTTCCACGATCCAAACGCGAGATGGCGCTGATCTCAGAAATTTTTAATCGCTCTCTTACTTATCGGCAAAATATTTCATTAACAATTCAAATAAAGAAATTATACAAAGTAATTGAAAGAATTAAAAAAAGGAACATTAAATTAGTTGTAATTTAAAAATCATTTAAATAGAAATATATAAAGAATATAGAGAAAAATAAAGAAAAGAAGAAACTTAATTTTTTTTTTTAATTTATTTACATATAAAGGTATGTATTTATAATTTATAATAAAATGTAATAAAATATAATAAAAATGTATAGAACTAAGATTTATAGAAAAAGAATTTATAAATATATAAAATATATAATATAGGCTTTACGATATATAAGAATATAAATATAGAATGTAAATATTCATAGATTTCGTGAAGATTTTTCATCAATAGGACAAGATATGATAAAATATGGCAGAAGGAAAGGTAAAGTAGCTCGTCTTTATCATATGAATGCGTTTCATTTGCGACACTCTGGAGATGGCGCTGACTTCAATATTTTTAATCTATCTTTATACTCTCACTATTTGATCTTCTTGTGTTGGAATGGGATTTAAACACGATTATTTAATTTTATATTAAAATTTACATTTTTTTCTTTTAATTTTTATTCTAAATTTATTTGCTTACTTTATTCTAAATTTAATAGATAACACATTAGAATTACCCCTTTAGAATAATTCTAAAATGAAGGATACGAAATAATGGGAAAAAAAATAATCGTAATTAATGTTTTATGAATATGTTTATATATGTATAAAAAATAGAAATTTGATCTTGATTGACGATAGATAGTAGAAAATTTAACTACAAAATAAATTTCAATATAAATGAGCATAGTTTCACCTGTAATTTATGAATTCTTTTCTTTTGTATCTTTTAATTAAAATCTTTTCATCGATGTAAATAACGTGTATATGTGTGTGTGTGCTGTTTGATGAACCGACAAGGTTCAATTATTACTTAGGTTTTTCAATAATTAGCTAATGAGCAACATAGGTTTCTAAGAAATAAATGAAATGGGTGTTAACGCAGTTCCCTTCTAATTTAGACTTTCTTTGACAAACGAATAATTAATCGAATTATTTTTCAGTCTGTCGTTATAATCTGCTCTACTAAAATCACAGTAATTACTTGATGACGTTAATGAAATAAAGAAACTTTGAACGAATTGTAACAACTTTTGCATTCTTGTTAATTTTACGTTTCAAACACAAAATTCCATAAGCATTTTAATATAAAATAAAGAATAATTTTAAAAATAGAATAACTCTAAATAGATCACTAAGTAGATTAAATTAAATTGAAAAGTTAATCTACTAATTATGAGAAATTAAAAGCATATTCCATTACAATTTCCTCTCATAAATTATTATTTTTTATTATATAAAATATATATTATATTATTATTCTATACATATTATAAAGTATAAAAGTAATAATCTCAAAAAATTCATATAGATGAAATTTAAAAATTTATCGTGTGCATATCGTTTAATATTTTATCCCAGAATTATGACTGAAATATAATTTAACTTTTTTAAAATATTTAATTTCATTTCTCTGTTTTATTTCTCGAAAATCATCTTCTTTATCTTTCACTAAATTTTCTATGAAATTTAATTGATTGCATGAAAAATTCTTTTCTCTTGTAAATGAGTGTAGAATCGAGAAAAAAAAATTATCCAGAATATATTTTTGAATGTATTCAAAAATTAGAAAGATGTAAAATGATTAAAACTTTTCGACAATCGTCATGTAATTAAATAATTTAATTTTTCCGGATCATCGTTTTCAATTTTGCACAATTTAAAACAAATTCATTTATTTTATCGTATTTTATTGCATCGTTTACTCATCTTCAGAGCGACATCTTCTGCCTAAATAATTATATCGAGATACAATATAAATCGATCCTTATATTTTTATATTTCAGATACAAATTCAATATTAACATGGAAAAAAGTAACTTTAAGCGAACTTCAAAATTTTCTGACGTCTTCCATTTAAAATTCGACATCAGTATGCTAATAACGTGCCCACGCGTTGTATTTTTTTTTCACGAACGAGCGTTCGTAGGCAGATCTTTTGATGTTGCAAATTTGTAGGGATGGCGATCGCTCTAACAATCGTAATTTACGATTGAATAGATGCCTTTCGTATGCTTTAACTTCATTTAATTTGCACACTTCAAGGAATATATATATATATATATTTTTGTATAGATCTTATTCGATCGTTAAAGAAAATCTAATTTAAGAAACCAAGCTGCACGAGTAATTATTCACTTGATTTAATTACATCGATACGACAAATATTGTCCAAGATTTCGATTAATATCGCCTGTATTTGACCGATGCCTACGGCTTGATACTAAATCTGCAATTATGTTCTCGATTAGAGGTTAATTACAAACATTTTAACTAAAATTATATCGTTACCTGTTAGATATATAATACACACTAATTCGTGACACGCGTACATAACCTAATTTTTTTGATTTTAATAATCGATCAACGATCACGATTACCTTTTCGTTGTATTATTTCCAAAGCATCAACGCAAACGTACGAGACACTTTATGCCACTGCCAAACAAGAAAATTCTCTCCTCGAAATCGAACAAGCCAAATGATTGATCCCTTTTGTTTCGAGGTTCGCCCGACCAAGTTCTACGGAAGAGCGCGAATAAATCGCACGAGGTAAGAATATACGCGGATTTTTTTTTCAACTAAATTTCAACTATATTAATTAATCGAAACTTGAAATTCAATACGAATACGATTTCTCTCGTTGGAGAAAATGGATCGAAGTTATAGCTATTTCTTTCGCTCGTGCTTCTATTGGATCTATTTGTAAATGCGCATGGCTAGATATAGTACGTGTACATATACACATACATATACATACGTCATAACCCCGAGAGGTTGCGTTCGTGCTTGAATAATTTCCAATGATTCGATTAAACCTATCGTGTAAATTCCAGAGAATTCCTTCACGGTTACTCGACACAGGTTTAATTTTTTATTCTCACCATTTTTTTTTCTTTTCTTCAATCTTATAATTTTAATAAAACGAATATAACTCGATTTTTGGCTAATCTCAAGTTCATAATTTCAAATATTCGGGACGAAATACTCGGACTTTGTCTCAGAGAGCATTTCAATTTTTCTAAAGTTAGTCTTTGGAGTAATTTAAAATAATCTTGGAGTTCAGGCTTCTGTTAATTTTTTTAATTATATACTTTCTATACTTGTCTATCGTTTATTCCTTTTTCTATAATTTAACTAATAAAATGTGGTAAAATTTTGAACGAATCATCAATTAATTTGAACAAGATTAATTTAGATTAATTAACAGTCTTTTTTAATAATTCGCAGAAAACTTGTTTTTTTTTTTTTTTAGTAATTAATTAATCAATCAACGTCGTATGTTATCCCAGAGAGAAGTTATGATAATACTTGCAACACTTACTCGAGGATTCTCATAACAGTATAATACTAATTAAAAAAAGTTAATGAACGTTAACAATTCAAAATAATCATAATTCATGTATCTAAGATATTTTCGAAAGACAGAATCGTCACATTAGATTGACAATGATTCGAAAAACCGAAACACTCAAACGGAATATCTCCATTTGACCCAGGATATCTCCAGCCCGATATTCATAGAAAATCATCCAATAAACGTCGTTCGAACGGCTGAGCTCCAAGTAGGGTCGTTTCGATTAGAACGAATTCGCGCATTGATTTACGTTTGATCAACTCGATCGAGATTGTGTACAGTTAAATAAGCAACGCGAGATTGCAATTTTCGTTTATACACGATCCTTGAACATTGACGTGGAGTCAATGCGTCGATTAATTCCATCGAAAAGAAAAAAGAAGAAAAGGAAAAAAGAGAGTAAAAATATCGCAAAGGATCGTTCGGTTATCCCCTATTCTTTCCACCTGTGGATCCTGGGCAAAGAATTGTAAAACGAAATTGACGATTCGTCATAACTTAGCTAATCTTAAGAGCCTCCTTTCGAATCGCTCTTTCTCGAAATACATCGTTCCAGGGCCATCGATAAGCGCCAATAACGTTCAAAGTGCGTATACCCATATCCCGTGTAACGATCGCTGGTAAGATCGTTATTTTCCATTTTCTTAATTGCTAAATAGCCCGGTACACGCTGCCTGTGTCCACGTATTACGTTGAGGAACGTCACGAGCGGGAAACGAGATTTGCTCGACGATTTTCGAAAGGAAATTCCTCCCGTGTCGGGGCCCATTAAACGATGCACGGAAGGAGGGAAGGAGAAGACGGGCAACAGGCGGCCAAGTCGGCTCAGTCGAACGGTTACTCCACTAGCTGGAATTAGTTGACAGTAGCCGGGGAGACGTTAAGAGCAGCTATTAGCAGCAATGACGGGCGGAATAGTGCCGGGCAAAGTCGCGCGCTTCGATCACCAACTCTAATTGCTTTAGGATGGAACCCGCCTATGGGCAAAGGTCCCGCCCCCTACGTAGGTGTTAAGTGGACTTTATTCGCTCTTTATTCGTTCGATTATTCGCAAGAATTCGACCGATTCGACCAACACATTTCCCTCCCTCGATCGATATCAAAAAAAAAAATTCTAAAAAAATATTCTCGAAATTATCCTGGTGTGAATTCTTGATTGTTATCGATATTCCTTCCCGAAGAATAATACGCTTGGATTTTTAAACGGATTCGTCTCATCTTGTTTTATTATATTGTTAATTCGATCCAGTTTGACCTTTATTGTAAATTTCTTTTTTTTCCTGAACTCTTTCGTATCTTTATTACTTAACTATTATACAGAATTGATTTATTATATTTAATGATATATTTTCTATTCGTTATTGGAAACCGATATTTCATTATCGGAATAAAATAAATTTTGACTTTCGAACGTACATATATAATATAATAAAACTCGCTTTTGTGTCCTTCACGCCGTCAAAACTACCTACGTAACCAGATGATTTACTATTATTCCGACTATCTCGAAGGATTAGAGTGATTAAGATTGTCCATTTCGTTTTTTTTTTTTTTTTTTCCTTTCTTCCAGCAGCAAACGATAAGACGCGTTTGCAAAAGAGAAGTTAGGTGAAATTTTGAATAGAAAAAAAAGAAGGGTGAGAAAGGTTGATAGAGAAAATAAACGTTCAGGGGATTTGAAGCAATCCGTTCGAAATGAATATTCATCGTGGATGTTCGTACAATGGAGCGAATTCGTACTAAAATTATTCAAAATACCTATGTTAATTATGTTCTTCGAGCAAGAATTATCCCTCCTAATGACTGTCCCTAACGAAATAATAAGAAATTGCGTCTACGTAAATACACGGATAAGTATATGAATTTGCATAACTCGTCAATTTTAATTCAGAAAAATCGAAAAATTGTTCATCCGATTGCTTTTATTCAGAACGCATAAAAAAAGAAAAGAAAAAATATTCGATTTCAATTCAGAAAAATCGAAGAATTGTTCATCCGATTGTTATATTTTATATTCGTGCATTTTATCGCACGTATTAAATCGGAAAAGATTTCCGAAAAAAAAAAAGAAAGGAAAAAAAAAACTAATTCGAAGTAGTTGAAATTATTTTCATGATTCAACCCAATAAAACGTTTGACGTTTCATCGGCTGTCTCTGACGGTGGAATATAAAACAGGATATCTCGTCATCAATCCGTAATGCGTTAACGGCGCGTTTTTTTTCGGCACTTCGTAGAAGAAAGAATTATCTCTAAAAAAAATTCGAAAGAAAAATCGCATCAACGATAATTTCAAGGGGAAATCTCTATTTCGAATTAACACCATCGACGACTTACGATCGTACGTTTGTAATAGCGCATTCTCATCTCGATTAACTTCATTAACTGAAAATTCGATGAGTAAGAGCAGATGTTGCATTTTCATTTAACAACAATCAGTCGTAATAATGCGAATCGTTAAATTATAAATTCATCGGGCGCGAGGGTGACTAGAAATTGAAATTCGAATTTATGAAATTATGTATGTATCTAGATAAATTAGGACGTCAAGGAGTTTTTCAATTCTTGTGATAAATAAAGGAAAAAAGTTACTATGGCTTTCCGCCAAATCACTAGCAAAAGGGGAATAATTGATTCGGTATACGAATGTTTGAAGCGTTTCACCCTTAATTATACATCTAAAGACGAGTCGCAGATGCGTATGAATACCGACTTGTCCGGCTACTTTCAATTACTTTCGATCGCGCCACGTAATTCTCGAGCGGATTAAACCGAGAATAAACGTAAATGTAGTGGCGGACAATTTCAATCCAGTGGAAAACAACTTGACTTGAATTAGTTTTAATTAACGTGATTGTTAATAATTTAATTACACTAAAATATATAGGATATTAATACGCCTAATTATAACAAAATTACCAACGCATCATTCACGAGTTTATTATCCCTATTTTATTTTCGAAAATATTTACGAAATTATTATTATAAATCTGGAAAAAGAGAGAGAGAGAGAAATTTCAACGACTTCATTCATAATTGCACGGGTATTTAATCACCAGGATCTGCCCCCTTTAATCAGGATTAAAGATAGGCGCAAGGGGGGATGAGATCGGTTCGTAAGGGCCAACACCACCTCTCTTTCCTCTCCTCTCTCTCTCTATGGGCAAACGGTGTCGAGCGTAGTCGAGTCGAGTCGGCACGGCCGGCTATAAAAGCCCTCTCGCACCGTGCCGTCCACGTCACACGTCGTTAGCACTCTGCACGGTGAGCTTATTTTATATTCGTGCATTTTATCGCACGTATTAAATCGGAAAAGATTTCCGAAAAAAAAAAGAAAGGAAAAAAAAAACTATTCGAAGTAGTTGAAATTATTTTCATGATTCAACCCAATAAAACGTTTGACGTTTCATCGGCTGTCTCTGACGGTGGAATATAAAACAGGATATCTCGTCATCAATCCGTAATGCGTTAACGGCGCGTTTTTTTTTTCGGCACTTCGTAGAAGAAAGAATTATCTCTAAAAAAAATTCGAAAGAAAAATCGCATCAACGATAATTTCAAGGGGAAATCTCTATTTCGAATTAACACCATCGACGACTTACGATCGTACGTTTGTAATAGCGCATTCTCATCTCGATTAACTTCATTAACTGAAAATTCGATGAGTAAGAGCAGATGTTGCATTTTCATTTAACAACAATCAGTCGTAATAATGCGAATCGTTAAATTATAAATTCATCGGGCGCGAGGGTGACTAGAAATTGAAATTCGAATTTATGAAATTATGTATCTAGATAAATTAGGACGTCAAGGAGTTTTTCAATTCTTGTGATAAATAAAGGAAAAAAGTTACTATGGCTTTCCGCCAAATCACTAGCAAAAGGGGAATAATTGATTCGGTATACGAATGTTTGAAGCGTTTCACCCTTAATTATACATCTAAAGACGAGTCGCAGATGCGTATGAATACCGACTTGTCCGGCTACTTTCAATTACTTTCGATCGCGCCACGTAATTCTCGAGCGGATTAAACCGAGAATAAACGTAAATGTAGTGGCGGACAATTTCAATCCAGTGGAAAACAACTTGACTTGAATTAGTTTTAATTAACGTGATTGTTAATAATTTAATTACACTAAAATATATAGGATATTAATACGCCTAATTATAACAAAATTACCAACGCATCATTCACGAGTTTATTATCCCTATTTTATTTTCGAAAATATTTACGAAATTATTATTATAAATCTGGAAAAAGAGAGAGAGAGAGAAATTTCAACGACTTCATTCATAATTGCACGGGTATTTAATCACCAGGATCTGCCCCCTTTAATCAGGATTAAAGATAGGCGCAAGGGGGGATGAGATCGGTTCGTAAGGGCCAACACCACCTCTCTTTCCTCTCCTCTCTCTCTCTATGGGCAAACGGTGTCGAGCGTAGTCGAGTCGAGTCGGCA